TTGGCCCATTCATCCAGAAGAGCATTTGTGAGGTCAGACACTGATGTTGGATGAGAGGTCCTGGTTCGTAATCTCCGTTCTAGTTCATCCCAAAGGTGTTTGATGGGGTTGAGGTCAGGGCTCTGTGAGGGCCAGTCATGTTTCTCCCCACCACACTCACCCAGTCAGGCCTTTATGGACCTTGCTTTGTGCACTGGGGCTCAGTCATGCTGGAACAGAAAAGGTTCTTCCCCAAACTGTTCCCACAAAGTTGGAAGCACAGACTTGTCCAAAAGGTCTTGGTCTGCTGAGTCATTAAGATTTCCCTTCACTGGAACTAAGGGTTCTAGACCAACCCCTGAAAACAACCCCATATCATCATCCCTCCTCCACCAAACTTTACACATGGCACAGTGCAGTCAGGCAGATAACGTTCTCCTGGCATTCGCCAAACCCAGATTCGTCCATCAGACTGACAGACAGAGAAACGTGATTTGTAAGTCATGGAAACCCATTTCGTGAGGCTCCTAATGTGCAGTTCTTTTGCTGATGTTTCTTCCAGAGGGAATTTGGAACTCTTTAGTCAGTGATTCAACAGAGGATAGACACCGTGAGCTTCGGCACTCTGCGGCCCAACTCTGTGAGTTTGCCTGGTCTACCGCTTCGTGGCTGAGCTGTTGTTGCTCCTATACGCTTCCATTTCACAATAGTAGCACTTACAGTTGGCAGGGGCAGATCTAGCAGGCCAGAAATTTCACACATTAACTTGTGGTAGAGGTGGCATTCTAAAGTCACTAAGCTCATCATGACCTGTTCTACTGCCAGCGTCTGTCTATTGAGACTGCATGCCTGTGTGCTTAATTTAATGGCTGAAACACCTGAACTCAATAATTAGGAGGGGTGTCCCAGTACCTCTGTTCATATAGTGTAACTCCAGCAGTTCAACTTTGAAAAATGCTCAAAAGTGGGAAGGACCTCTTTGGACCGTTTATTCCCATATCATGGAAAACCGAATTTTTTCATGCTTTTTTTTTAAGTGTTCAGTATAGTTCATAAATAATTGTAAAGTTTACATAAACCCCACATATTCAGCCTACGCAATCTAGCCCTGCCCATTCATGATGACGTTTCAGTCCAGATTGCTTTTTGCATTATTCACAATACAGGGCAGCCAATCAGAACAAAGCTCATTTACCTATATCAGTCTTCAAGTTACAGAGCTAACCTTTTAAAAAAAATTAATTACAAAGGCCATATTAGTTTGAAATTGATTTTATAACGAATTGGATTAATTGACATCATGGAGTGTGGTTTAGTGGCCCTGGTGGAAATAATGTCACTTCGTCTGTTTCTTTCTTTCTATACTTTTTAAAGACAAAAGACAGACTGTAATTCCTTGGGAGAGGCAGCCCAAGTCCTCAGTGACTTTTCCAAATCCCAGCATGAGTTCTGCTGGTATTCTTCATTTATAAAAGCCTGAGGCAGAACACGGCATAGGCCGTAGTCATCATCTTCTCCCTCTGTGATGGTAATCCTTAAAAGAGAAAAGGAAACACTTAATACAGGGTCAGTCCAGAGCAAGGCTCTGCTAAAGCTGTCTTGTGCTCCGCAGCCAGAGTATGGAATCATGCAGAGGATAGAGACAGACTGTCAAAGGATTGTGCCAAAGCACGAGAGACTATAGGTAATCACACTGCCTCAGAGTCGATGTGGAAGGAAGGAGTCATAGTCAGAGTCTCTGTGGTTAGTTGAAGGATGATGTCAGTAACCTTTTGTGCCTTTCAGAAACTCCCCTGGTGCTATATCATTCATTTCTATCTACATTTGTGAGTGGTCACGGCCTTGGTCCCAAGTAATTAAGGTCACACTGAGGTAAGCATGAAAAGGAAACGGTTGTTTTGAGAATTACCCGTGGAGCTTGGGGTTGGATTAGCGCTTTAGCAAGTCTGAGGAGTGAAAAACACATCAAGTCTTTCCGTGCACGCCACGCCCCTCCTACAGCTGTTCCAAGTTCACGTCATTGGCAAAGTTCAAGAGAGAAACGTCGCGACCTTGTGTCAGAGCTGGTTGAATGAATTAGGAAAGGAGTCGTGACTTCTCTTCAGAACTGAGGCAGTGAGGTGCGCGTTGATATTTGGCCTCACTCACTTTTATCATGTTGTGAAATGTCATTTCCTATTAGGCTAACGCAGGCAGTGTCCTTCTAGCTTCAAATGTGCGAGTGTCTCAAAGACACATTTGTGCCTTTGAACATAAATACTCCTGACAGACAGTTAATCTGTCAACTTTTCAGCGTTATGGGTTGTCGGGTATGACTGTAGTCAGTCTTCGCTGTGACCACGACTCATAAATTTTCACTATTTAAAGCTGGCTGTTAATACGAGGCTGTGTAGCACCAGGATCAGTAATGATTTCCATAAGCCACACGGCGGGATTCACTTAGTCAAAGCCAAGCTAACGGCTATCGGTTCTCCTCTTGTGGCCTCTCAAAATATGGATGATGTGAAAAACACTCTGCCTTGTTTTTCATTGTGGATTTGACCAAGACGTGGAAGATGACAGCATAATAATTAGCATGTTGCCTTCCAGATGCCCTGTTTTGTTTTTCTTGCTTGTGTTCCAGCTAAGGTGGGAGCGAGGACACAGCTTCAACAGCATTACTGAAGTAATAATTTGGATCTTAAGCCGGCGCTGGAGGTCACAGGCTGAACGAGCGAGGGCCATAAATCTCTGACACCAGGGGGGTTTTTTGCTAGCCCCTGACAGACTCTGCGCAGCCAAATTGGACGTTTCATACTCGAAGAGGGACATGCCTCGTTGGCCTCAGCCAAAACCCACAGAGACTGCTGGCATGGCAGGCCTGCTAGCAGAGGAGGGCACCCGCTCTTCAGCTCACTGAGAGCCCGTTAGCGTTACAAAAAGTCTGACGGACACAATCCTGGAGAAAAGCAGGCACGGGATTCAGGTTTCCTGTGGAACAAGGCCCGACTTCTTTAGCCGTCTCCATGGCAGACGTGAAAGCAAACACACGCCGGGGTTATCCAAACAGCTCCATCACACCGACCCTGGCTCAGAGTGGGTGAGCTCGGCCGGCCCGGTAGATGTGTGAAATGTAGCGCTCTGTGGTGTCCTTAATGAAAGGGAAACAGAAGTTTGTTTCGTTTAGAAACCTGACGACCCTCGCGCCTCGAAGCCCTGTTGACTTTCCATGAATCAAACCTAGCTTTTGTTCGGGAGACCATCGATGCGTCACCGCAGCGGAGCACGTCAGTGTTTTACGAGCTTGCACAAGAATATATATGTTGTTGCAACTTTTGAAAAATTGGCTCGTGATCTGACCGAGGGCCCAAACTGCTGTTTTGGCCTCGAGGAGCCGTTTTATGAATGATACTGAACATGCATACTACGCGCTGCTTCGGGCAGGAATCCATTGTTAGTGGTCCAATGAAAATTTCGGCATAATTGTTCCAATGAGTATAAAAACCAAAAGCGAACAAAAGAGCTATGTGAACCGGCGACTTGTGCTTGGTGGGGCTCAGCAAATGTTGGGGTGGGGAGGTGGGAGTGCGGTGGGGCGGAGGGAAGGAACAGGGCTTTTTTGGAGCGGAGTAATAAAGCCGTTAGCCCCGGCGGCCAGCTCTTTTCTCTGCCCAGGCTGGAGCCGCTCCTGCAGGAGTGTTAAACTGTGTACACCCTCAGATCAAACCGGCCTGCCGACAGGTTCAAAGAGCTGACAGCTCTGAAAATGCCAGTCATGTGGTGAACGGATGAGCGGGAAGGAGGGCGGGTGGGGGGATGGGGGGGTGTGTAACCGGAGCAGAAGGCCCCCGAATTTCCACTCCCGCTTTTTACCCTTCAGCCCTCCCTGTTCGCCTCTTGAAGCTCACCCTTAGGAATTGAGCAAGTCCTGCGCAGAATAGGGCTCTGTTCAAACCTTTCAGTTGCACACAGTCTAATCACAGTCTTTATGTTCTTTGCTTTCATTGCATTTGACTTGAATGATTGCGCATTCAAACAGCCTTTTTTTTAAAGAGAGAGAGAAAGAGAGCAGTAAAAAGGGGATTTTCAGTAAAAGATGACTTCCTCCTGGAGTAGTTCCATGCAGTGATGCTAACAAGTTAGAATCAGCCTTGTGTTGCTTATTTACCTACTTAAATGGCCCATGTCTTGCATAATACTTCAATTTTATGGTTTTGCCTGAGTGCCTTTACGCCTGGGGACATTTTTTTTGTACCAAAAATGGTCTTAATTAATTCATACATGACCTTTTCCGACCTCTTCCTTATCCCCGTCCTCTATATCCCTTCAAATTAAACAGGATTCTGATTGGCTGCCCTGTTTTGTTCAGTCCAGGCTGAAACGCTCCGTATAGCTTTAGCCTGAATGGGAGGAACTAAACTGGTGCAGGCTGATGTCCGTAAATGTGATGGTTTGTGTGACATCACAAAAACTAAATACATTTAAAACAGCTTAGTTTCCATATAAGGACTCTATGGGCAGTGAAATGAGCACATTTTGAGGCTTTTATGATGTTTCTAAACTACATCAACCCTTATTGATTTAACACAGGTAACACAGGTTTCCTTGAAATGGGCCCTTGAAAATGTATTGCGTAGTTTGGTTATAAATTACTGATGTAACTTCTCAGCATTTCACGTAGCAACATTTGTAATGCAAACGTTCTCCAGAGTGACACTGGAGCCCATTTAGTCTATAAATCTACACAAATCGTACACGTTTTTCCGCAAATGATGAGTGTTGCAGTCTTGTTTGGCACCCGCCGCAGCTGTAGATCATTCCCAATCTCGGAATGTTGTGTCAGCCAAAGTACCGCTGTCCACTACTGTATCATGTCTTCAGTGACTTATCCCGAGCCAGGTTTATGTTTTCGTTGTCAGCGCCGAAGGTTGAACGTGCTTCAGCGCAGAAGCGCATATATCGGAATGACTGAAATGCAAAGATCCGCTTTGATATGCAAGCTTCAAAGACTTATATTTTCTTCCTGTCTCCTCTCGCCGCAGATGACTCGAGCTCAGGGAGGGATGGTGCCGGAGCAGCGGGAGATGCAGAGTACTCCACTGGCCTGCCGGGAAAACTGGGTAAGGTGCTAGAGTTCTCTGAACTCCCTTTGATCTGCTTCAGTCCTGTTAGCCTTAATTGCTCCTCAGGAAGAAGAAGGAATTCTGTGCCGCATCTGCCAGAGTGTTTCATAAGCCGCTCGCAGTTGTCTGCCATGACTCAAGGTTGTGCATCGGTTTTCAATTGTAAAACAGAATGGAGTTTGCTTCAAATATGAATAGAAATGTGTTTTTGTTTGGCAAAAAAAAAGTTTAATAAACTACATAATTTCCTCTTACTCTGCTTTCTCTTGCTCTCCTTCCTCTGACATGTTTAGTGCCTAATATTTGCTGCTTTAGTTTTGCCCTGGAGGCTAATTCACATTGCCAAACTGCACGCCTGGTTCATCATACGTTTGCTCCAAACCATGAGTTCTTAAGGAATCTCAAATAGATTTGATTATGTAGTTTCTGACGCTGTATGCTGGTGGGTCTCACCCTGGTCCTGGAGACCCCATGTTGTGCACATTTTACTGTTTTTCCTGCTTCGACACACCTGACTCAACTAATGGGCTAATTAACAAGCCCCTCTTGAGTTGAAATAGCTGTGTTAGTATAGGAAAAACACTAAAATGTGCAGAGCAGGGGACCAGGATTAAGACCCCAGGACTATTGTCGAGAACCATTGCTGCATGCCGTACTATTTTCTAGAAAAATGGACAAAATTATGTTGCGTAGCTAAAAATAGTGGTGGCAGCTATCTTTTTTTCCAAACTATCACTTGAAGTGACCTTAGTTCTTCCCCATGCAGTAACTATAAGAATAGGTTGAATTAGTTGTATGGAAGAAAGCAGAGGTGGCATAGCAGTATCAGTGGGACAGATCATGGTCACAAGCATCTTCGGAGACCCCAACCTCCCCCACCGATCCCCACTCTCTGACCAAAATAATGCAAACAAATATCGATCTGAAAATAACTAATAAATAACTCGTATGTTTAGGCAGCAGGGTATGGGCTGAGGGAACTGTATTTCATTTATTCATTTCATTACATATTCAAGGGCTATTCGGTCATCTGATTTTTGCACTGGCCATGGACTGTCCCCAGTCTTTTAGCTGCATCAGGGCCCTGGTAGTAAGAGCCCCTTGGTAGTAAGAGGCCCCTGTGGTACTGGCCCCACTGGCCCCGTCTGTAGCCTGTCCTCGAAAGGGTATTAGTATTGGCCGATATCAGCAGAAAATGCGGGATTGAATATTAGAGGGGAGTAAAGAATGAATCGAATACAATCCTGTAACAAATCTGTCCTGAAAGAGCACTCGCACTGTGTGATGTGATGTTGTTAGCTATGCATTTTTTCATGTGCGGTAGTAGAGTGAGTAGTTTGAGTATAATAGCCTACTTTTAGTTGCTCATCTACATAGAAGTGAGGTGCATTGATGAAACATAACTAATTTTAACGCTTAGTAGATTTTAAAGTAAAAAATCCAAGCAACGTAACTGCATTGGCCAATACTGAAGATTTCGCTATTGGTATCAGTGAACAGGATCTAGACATCTTTCGAAGAAAGGGCTGCAAAAATGAGCCATTCAAAGTACAAAATAGAATAAATGTGTGCCTCATTATTTTCCAATAAAACCTTGGTCTGAAAACTTGCTCTAAGTGGCTTCACTTCCTGGGACAGAGACAGGTAATGGGGCCTGTAGTCTCCTTTGGCTGGTGGCTCCGCTGCTCTGCTTGTTCTGCTCTGTGCTGGTATCACACGCTTCTCCAACTATAGACCTCAGTGTTTGCTTTGGTAATTGCGTTTGACAAGCCAAAGAGCAGGCTATTTAAGTGTAGCGTGAGGGGGGAAGCATTCCATTCCCCTTTGACAGCTGCCATCTGATTTGATATCACGGCAGTGCTGTTAGCGGCCACCGAACGCCACGGCCTGACTCTGCGGCGGTCAGCGTAAGCCTGCCCTGCTTATTTTTGCACAGCGAGGTGTAGGCTAGCCCTGAGGCTCCTCTGTTAGGGTGAAGCTCTCAGCAGCACAGATGTGAGAGACAGGCAGAGTTCACTATTGTGTTTTCTTTCCTGCTGTTTGTTCGGACTCCGCTGCGAGTGTAAACAGCCAGCAAGGAACGGGCGGCGTAAAACTTCAGAGCAGCTGCTGTTTGTTTTGTCAAATTGCCCTCATGTGGTGGCGCTTTGCTTCAGTAAAACGGCCTCCACAAGGGCTCCTCGTCAGCCCTTCTGTAGCTTATTTTCACTGTAATATTATCAATGTTGTGGAAAATATACAGTATCTACACAGAGTCCATAAACCTGGATCAGCGCTCATGTTTTGATGCCCCAACTCACTTATACTGACTTTTTCTGCTGAAGTGGTTTTGGGCAAAACTCCTTATTAGCAAATTATAGATAGATCTAATGGTCAATCAGCCTAATTTGAAATGTTTAGTGTTAGATTTCTTGCATTCTTTAATTAAGAGACTACAAACTTAAACAAGATGGTTCTTCAAGGGTTCTTTAGTAAAGAAAATGGGTCTTTATAGAACCATGAACACTCATAGGTCCCTTGGCATGATTAAATGCTTCTTTGCATTGTGAAAGGGTTCTTCAGATTGATGAAGAATGTGTTGTATATGGTTCTATATGGTACCTTTTTTGAAAAGGGCTCTATACAGAACCAAAAAGGGTTCTTTCATTGTTACAAGCTTGACTCTTTTTGGTTCTAAATCTTTTCAAAAAGGTTCCATATAGAACCATACACAGCACATTCCTCCATCAATCTGAAGAACCCTGTCACAATGCAAAGAATCAATTAATCATGCCAAGGTTCTATCTTCATAGAACCTCTTTTTTTACTAAAGAACCCTTTAAGAACCAACATTTTTAAGAGTGTAGATTACAATAAGAATGCTTAATAAACTTGCTAGAGTCAAGTCACAATCACCAGCCTTTGTCTTTGCTGTTATATTTTAGATTATGTTTTATTCCTAAATCTGTGGCTCTCAGACTGGCCCTTTAGGGCCCCCCAGAAGGTTGGCATCTTTGAGTTGGGAACTGTGCTAGAGCAAGAATGTGGACCATCTTGTAGATATCAAGTCACTATATATATATATATATATTTTTTTTTTTTTATATAAGAAAAGGAAACATTAAAAAATGTACAAAACTGTGCAGAAGTCAAAGACCACTCTATTTAATTTACAGTCAAGACAGGCAAGGTTTTAAGCATCTGATAAAAATTTTAAATCTGTGTATCTGAGCAGTTTATTTGTTTATTTGCTCAGAGAAAACACTAATGCATTAAAACACATATACATTGAAACACATATACATTAAAACAGCATATACATTAACACACATAATACAGTTGTTTTTATGTATATTCAATGCATTCATTCATGGCAGCCTGGTAATTCCTGCAGTCATCATTCAGTACCTGGTTAATCAGTACTGTATTATTGTTGAATCATGTGCGCTAGTGATGAAACTTTGTTCTTCAAACTAGCTCACAACAACCACTTTCTTTTTCACAACAAATTCTTGTTACGTTTTACTGTATTTATTCTAATGATAGGTTATTGCCAATATAAATATATATCATATATCAATATATCATATTGCCAAGATAAATAGTAGACAGTATAAACAATGTTTTTAGGTGCCTAGACTTTTGCACATGACTGTATATTTAAGAGAGAATTACACAGAAGCCTCAACAACTAAATCTAATAGCATTTTTTTCAGTTTTTTTTGTCTCCACCCTTTGTTTTCATGGCGGCTTTCATTCTTTTCAGCAGACCTGCTTTGAGTTTTTCAACGAGATCTGTAGGGATATTTTTCCACAGCTTTAAAGTTCAGTTGTGGACACTGGTTGCATTTTCCAGTTCTAGTTTTGGTGTTCTGGTGCAACTTTCTTCTATTTCCTTTTCTCAGTGAGGCTTCTTGACAGCGACACGTCCTTTCAGACCCACAGCGCTGAGTCGTCTTCTCACAGTGGAAGGATGGACAGAAACACCTGTGAATTTTTTCAGATCTGACGCAAAAGTGGAGCTTGATTTTCTCCTCTCTCCTCTCTTCCTTTACCATAGTGCGTCCCCGGTTCACCCAGCCAGCTAAGATGAGGAAGCGGGTGATAGCTCGGCCCGTGGGCAGCTCGGTCAGGCTGAAGTGTACGGCCAGCGGGAATCCCAGGCCCGACATTGTGTGGCTAAAGGACAGCAGGCCCCTCACGCCTGAGGAAGTTGGCGAGGGCCGCAAGAAGAAGTGGACCCTGAGCCTGAAGAACCTCACCCCAGAGCACAGCGGCAAATACACCTGCCACGTGTCCAACCGGGCCGGGGAGATCAACGCCACCTACAAAGTGGAAGTCATCCGTGAGTCACCCGGTTCTTCCCCGTGTTCTCGTCTCGGAATGTGTCAGAGCCAATTCGTCAGCCTAATAGATCTGGGCAGGGAGAAGGTGTCTGGTTAATGTGGAGCTTGTATATGTATCTGCTTTTCATTTGTTCGTTTGGCCTCAGAACAAAGGGGTTTTTAAAGACCAGACTGAGTTCAGAACAGGTTGATGTTTTCTGTTGTTAACCCTTTGAAGTTGAGTTATTACGCTGGGGTTGCTGTATTATTGAAGTGTTTTTACATCTTTACATGAAAAATTACGTAGTTCCATAAAGAATGATGTTTACATTCTACATCAACAGGTTCACGTCTGCCTTTCTGACCTTGTTCTTTTTGACAACATGTGGTAATAATATAAAAGAGAAGTTTACATTTTTAAGTAATACTACGGTTTATATTTGTAGAATATCAGTAGTTGAAATAAATACATATTAAATTTGGTTAATTGTATTGAGGTAGTTGTTTGGATTTAGATATTATTTTAGCAGTTAATTATGCTGTTTAGTGGTAACTCTGTCAAGGCCTGACCGACAACTTTGTTACTATAGAGTGGTTAGTCTGGTTCAGTGTGCAGTGGTGTGACAGGGTTATTGTTTGGTGGTGAGTTCAGGAAAGAGCTGCAAAGAAAGATTCTATCCATCTCATTTGCCATCTGCTGTAGATTAAGTCCCAGCTGTGCCTGCTGACTTTACAAACATATGTTTCCACAAACCCGAAGGCCGAGCAAGGGGGAGGTGAAACAAACTCCCTCTTGCTCGAGCCAAATGTGGTACTTCTTTCTTCGCAGAGATTAGCCAAGCTACCTTTAGGATGAAAAATGAAAAAATGCATCCATGGCCAGGAGTCCAAGAGAGCGTAATTGGCCTTGCTTTCTCTGGGTGGGTTGGATGGCTCTCCTTCTCTCCCCATCACTCAGCACAATGCTAGCCAATGCAGGCGTCTGTTAACTAATGTAACCGAATGAGCAGTTATCGTTCTCTCGTGCGTGTTGAGCTTTTCAGTGACGTTGCATTAGTGGTGAGAAGATGCAATGGTGCTTAACAGTCTTGGAGGAAGCATGTGCTGCACTTTGCCCCTCAGCTTGGCAGCACTGTGTGACAGGGGTGACCTAGCTAGTAGATTTGGCAGTGACTAAATTGGGGAGAAAATTGAATAAAAAAAACCCCAAAAAATAGAAAAAAAAAGATGAACATCTGACAATTCTTTTTTTCTGCCTAGGGCGACTTGATATATCAGGAGCTGATATTTTTCACATAATTTGCACATAATTGCTTAAAAAATGTCTCAGTGTCAAACGGATGTTTAGATTTGACCAACACAGTGTGATCCAAAAAGATTCATCCGATTTCAAAATGATTTATTTCACTTGTAAATCATTACAGATCAAAGCAGTAAACTGTAAATGGTTTAAATGAGCATAAAGTTTATTATGTAATTTTACAAGTGCTCAGTATGAACCTCCTCCAGCTGTACGGACAACATCAACGCATCAACAATTCATCCCATACTCCATTGAGCATGTCGGGTGTCGCTGCACTCACGGCTCTTTCAGTGCAATTTCGGAGATCATCCAGTGTTGTGGAACCAATGACGAACACTCTGAGCTGTTGGAGGTTCACTGACAAAAATCATGCTGCACAGTTCTGACGGATTCACTCTTATTGAAGTGGAGGGGTCGCATCTCCTCGCAGACTGAAGGGAGCCAGTCAGAAACGCTATGACCCCCTCTTTCGGTTGGATTGTGATTGGTTCCTAGGTGCCTCATGGCTGTAAAAATATGGCACTTTGATATCGGATTCATTTTTTTTAATCACCCTGTATTTCAAACCGATACTTGATGATGTATTTGTTGAACTCCGGGAGAGCAGAATATTTGGGCCTCTGTGCTAAAATGTCTGCATTTCACTCATTTTACTGTATTACTAACCGTTATTTTGTAATACTAGTCCAGATAGATGTGGTCCTATTTCCTACATTTTATAAATGTTAATGTATGCATCAGCAGATATATACATGAAATATAGCGGCACCCTCAGTTCCCATATCGGTGCATCCCTACTAACCATACTTACCATTGTAAATCATTCTGAATATGAACATCTGCTAAATAATATCATCTGTGAACAATAATGTAAAGGTTTTCAATGTTATCATGTCTCATGGCTCCATTTGGCATTTCAACCCGTGGAGCGCTCTCTGTACTTAATATATGTAGATATTGGACAAAAAAGTTAAATTATCATTATTTATGATAATGATATGATATCATTATGATATCATTATTTTTGTCATCATTATCAGCTCAGAAATTCCATGTCAGTGCAGCTCTATTTAATACCAGTTCAAGGTTTAGTTATTAACTAATCTCTCTATTTTTTACAGAGCGCACAAACTCAAAGCCGATCTTGACCGGAACCCATCCTGTGAACACGACAGTAGACTACGGTGGCACCACGTCCTTCCAGTGCAAAGTGCGCAGCGACGTCAAGCCTGTTATTCAGTGGCTCAAGAGAGTAGAGCCTGGAGATGAGAACAAGTACAACTCAACTATCGAGGTGGGAGACCACCACTTTGTTGTGCTGCCCACTGGAGAGGTGTGGTCTCGTCCAGACGGCTCTTACTTGAACAAGCTGCTCATCACCCGGGCCAAGGAGGAAGACGCCGGCATGTACATATGCCTGGGGGCCAACACCATGGGCTACAGCTTCCGCAGCGCCTTTCTCACTGTGCTGCCAGGTCAGTATCACTGATAGGGTCCAGTCACAGTTTTATAAGCATCTTTCTGGCTTTTTGTCACCTAAATGTCTTCAAAACAATTTATATGTCTAGAGTTACTGTCAGTACATTAGAGTCTGCGTTTCCAACTTTTTTCTGTGTGAATTCAAAGACACGACAAAAGGTTAAAGCACTTTCCACTCCATTAAACAACACTGTGTATAATAACTTCATCAAATTCAAATCATAATAAAATACTTCTCCTACCAAAAAAATAAAATGTGCATAGTTTTTTGGGATTTGGGATTTTGGGATTATAAATTATGTTTTTGGTTCTTTGGTGTGAGGTCACTAATAGGTGGACCACGGTCCGAGTCCGGACCCAGACGCTGTCCTGTGCGGACCTAGACCTATAACCGATGAACTATGGAGAATTCTTTCTTTCGATGGGGTGGTTCTAGCCTTTATGGTAGCTATAGCGGCCCAGGAAACTCACAGACCAATCGCATGCGTTGGAAATATCACGTGGCACTACTCAGCCAATCAGATCTGTGCATTACGATGCGCACTGAGACTCCAGTGAGTGTCGCACACACAGGGGAGGGACGAGGCGAGAAACAGCAGTCAGAGAGGAAAGTGAGTCAGAGGGAAGTTATTTCACATGTCGTGCTCTAAAAAGAAAAAACTGATAATAAATGTTGTTGAAATATCACAGAATTGTATTTTATGTGATTTGATATTCAGTTGTTGACTGTATAAGATGTTGATATACCTACTAGGCTACTTCAGTAAACAGTATATGGCACTGAATCATAATGCAAGTTAGACATTATGATGTTCTGGACCGTCGCTTGAGGATATTTTCTCTAACTGGACCTTATTGAATTTTAATTAAAGACCCCTGCCATAGAAGAACCACCTTTGGTTACCTATAAAGTAGAGGTGCCAAAACTTTTTGTCTTGGGTCAATGTTTGTAGTGAGTTGAGGGCTGAAAAGACATAACACACAAATGTACAATATACAGTATACAAAAAAGGTACATTGTTTTAAATGTTACATTATAAAAATGTATTTTACATTTCCTGCAAAAATATTTTTGAAAAATTTAAAGGGAAAATAAGAGTTTAATCAGCTACAGTTATATGCAAAAGTCTGCGCACCCCTGGTCAGACTACGTTTTGTTGATTTTCGAGGTGAAAGTAAGTTGACATAACCACTACAGAGAACACACTTCTGCACATTTTAATGAAATTAAATAAAAAAAAAACATGACCAGTCGAAAAGTTACAGCAAATTTATTATTTCTGCAAAGCTTTTTTCCAAAATTAGACTAAAACTAGAACTGTGACTAAAGTTTGCAGAGAAATGCCATTTTTGAGTTTGTTCTCTGCTTATTTTCACTTACAAAATCAACAAAACATATAATTTGACAGGACATTTATACTGTTTCATATGACTGTATATATACTATGTAAATATGTTTGCTCTCTCATTGGTTGAGGGTCTGGGGTTAGGCTAACTTTCTGGCAAGCCAAATCAAACGTCCTCGTTTAAGATGTTTGAGTGTGAAGAATCTTTTTAAGTTTAAAGAAACTTCACATAATGTAAAGGGTCCACACCAATTTTCTTCCCTAAAACTGTTATAGAACTTTATTTTTTAGCATGTAACAAATCTGTAAAATATCAATATCTACACATTATCAGACCATGATGACTCCTGTCCCTCTGGACTCACTGTTTTACAAACCCTTTTCCATTTCAGACAACAAACCACACTTCCCCCCGATCCCTGCCGTGTCTTCTCCTGGGCTTCCTTGGCCTGTGATCATTGGCATCCCGGCTGGAGTGGTCTTCATCCTGGGCACTATACTGCTGTGGTTCTGCCAGTCTAAAAAGCACTGTTCCTCCGGGGCCATGGTCTCAGCTCAGGCTCTCCCCAACGGCCACCGACAGCCCCCTAGAGAGCGGCCACTGCCGGGAGCCGACAAGGACTGCATGGCCTCTATGACCTATGAGGAGTACCTGACCCAGCAGCAGCAGCAACAGCAGCTCCTTCTGACCCAGGGTGCCCCCAAAGTCTATCCAAAGATCTTCACAGACATCCACACGCACACCCACTCGCACGTGGACGGGAAAGTTCATCAGCACCAACACATCCACTACCAATGTTAGCCTCAGTCCTCATGGCCAGTCTGCACTTGGTTCCATCCCACCACAGTGATCCCGCCAGTCGTAGTTTCTCTTTGCAACGTTTGGATCTGCAGAATAACCGACTTTGAGCCAAAATAAGCGCTTGGACCAAGCTGTGTCACTCTTACATGTTTCTGAAGTCACTGCCTGGAGAAAGCACACGTATAAAACATTTTGAGCCAAGCTGCTTCCTACTAAACTGTCTTCCATACTGGATATCAGGATGATACTACCACAAGGTGGAAATGAGGCACGGCAATGGAATACAAGGACGAAATATGAGCCGAGAGTAGAACAGATAATGCAAAAACAAAAAATGAACACAATTTTTTTTTTCAGTTTTTCAAGTTTGGACGATCCACATATGCACACAGATAATGAAAATGAATGTACTGTCTCATTTTCCTCACAATACATTGTGAGCATTGAGCTCTGCCTTTTTTAGCTACACCAACCACCACCTCTCAGTTTAGTCAGCTTCGATGCTCACTGACCGAAGTTTGTGGATGGGGCCAAAAAGGATCAGTTTTACTTAGCACCAAATTTCAGTGAAATGTATTTGTATTACTGCACGCTAATCAGAATTACCTGCTTGTGTAGGTGTTTGCAGGTATGCAGGAGTTTTCGTTGAGTCTACATTATGCCCAAATTTGATTTCCCGGGGCAGTCTTTGAAGCTAGATGATTGCATGAGGACCTATATGTACATGTTGTTCTTGCAAATATTGCAAGCATTTTTTTTGGTCTGCTGGAATTGATGTCAATGGGACTGTCATCTTCGGTACACAAGCTGTCACATCAGTCATTTACAAACCTAGCAGCGTATTTAAGTATATCTCTTTTCCACTTAATGGAAATAAAGTAAACAGAAGTGCCTACTGTTCAGATAGTACTGTCACTAAGTTTATGGGTAACATACACCGATCAGGCATAACATTATGCCCACCTTTTATCAGCTCCACTTACTATATAGGTGCATATAGAGTGGATCAGACACAGAGTTGGAGTTTTTAAACACCTCAGTGTCACTGCTGGACTGAGAATAGTCCACCAACTAAAAACATCCAGCCAACAGCGTCCTGTGGGCAGCGTCCTGTGACCACTGATGAAGGACCAGAGGATGACCAACACAAACTGTGCAGCAGCAGATGAGCTATCGTCTCTGACTTTACATCTACAAGGTGGACTGACAAGGTAGGAGTGTCCAATAGAGTGGATAGTGAGTGGACACAGTGTTTAAAAACTCCAGCAGCACTGCTGTGTCTGATCCACTCGTACCAGCACAACACACACTAACACACCACCACCACGTCAGTGTTACTGCAGCGCTGAGAATGATCCACCACGCAAATAGTGAGGGTCTATGGGGGTCCTGACCACTGAAGAACAGGGTAAAGGGGGGCTAACAAAGTATGCAGAGAAACAGATGGACTACAGTCTGTAACTGTAGAACTACAAAGTGCACCTATATAGTAAGTGGAGCTGATAAAATGGACAATGAGCGTAGAAACAAGGAGGTGGTCATAATGTTATGCCTGATCGGTGTATTTTGGTGATGTTGGATATTAAAAGTTCTGAAAAGGAATACTCGGAATGTTCTGAGGTACCACAGGCACGAATTCCTGCTTTCGCTCAGGTGGCCCTTTTCTTTCTATCTTCTTTTGACATATTTGTATTATCATGACCACTATATGGAGACTGTGTAAAATGCCTTTGACTGCTCAAGTAATGGCAGCCCAGATTTAAAATGGGAGTTGGAGCTTAAAAATCTGATTGAAACACAAAATCCTTCCACACTACAAAGTGTGAAAAAACAAAAAAAATGCCGGCCCGGGTTTCTTTCCTGTGTTTACCCGAACGGTCGCAGTAATGGGTAAGTGCTGAACAGACTGCAGAGCTTAGAATCCATAGGAATGCACTTAAGCCCACAGATTTGTTTTCACTCATGAGAACGTTTAGGACGACGGTCCCTGTCATTGTAGTCAGTAACCCAAAGTGAAAATCTTGTCCAACTTAGCAGTTCAACAAGTGTAGTTTATTTATTGGCTAGCAATGTTTTTCTTACCTTGAATTGGGCATTATGTCAATGTTTTGAACCAAAAAAACAGATCAGTTATGTTTTATTTTCTTTTGTAGCTGCAATGTAAGCTATGTAGCATATATCAAGTGTAAAATATTTATATGTGCTGTTAAAAAATACAAAAAGTTAGTAATTAGTTATCTTTGTATGGACAATCTTGTACAGTCTGGCCTCTTTTTATGTTTATTTGTTGTCACATTGAAACATTTAAAATCATTTTATCATTGCCAATAAAATGATGAGAAATATTTGTTTATGAGTGACACGATTTGCTTGCATATATTTTATTTTGTCATATTATTCTAACAGTACGCTATTATGAATGTCACCGGTAGTGCAATTTATTTTCACTTACATTTGTACAAACAATGAAAAGTGATTCTGGCAAATTGGAACATTTTAACATTTAACATTGTATAACACTTAACAAAACCTTTCTGCTTCTCTTTACATCACTTTGTTCACTCAATGCATAATCCAACCCTAGAAAGCCTTCTAACATACATATAATCAATGTTGTAGCAAAACGTTTTATGATTTCTCTTAAAATTTTCAGCCTGTCAAAATGTCATGATGATTGGGCCAATAGAAATGGTCCAAAATCACATTAAAATCTGGTTAACTTTAACTTCTACTTAAGTTTTAGTTCTTTTTGGAGATACGAGGTTTTGTTATATATGTATATATAACACACTGAAAATCTGGTACTAAACAATAGAAAGTTTTAGAATCTTGAACATTTTAAAACAAAGAAAAGTTATTTGAATACCTGAAATTCTGCACTATTTCTATTCAAATCAAATCCTTTTTTTTAGTCTTACTCCCTCCGTTAAAACCCATGTTCCACCGACTCGCAGGATTTGTACTGATCAGAGGCTTTAGCACACACTTGTGGGGTCCATGCCAGATCGAGCACACACTCTCATTAAGCCTAGAGGGAAACAGCAAATACTAAGAAAATTCTGAAATTTCTGTAAACATTGAAAGATTCAACTTTTCACTCAAATTATGTTGATGAAAACATTTTCATTACATTAGAAAGGAAAGCAAAATGGAAGCATTTTCATTTTCAGAGATCTCAGACTTTTGGACCTCACTGCATGTGAATACATATATATATATATATATATGTATATATATGTCGCTGCTGTTGGAAGAAAACCTTGTTCCTCCATTTTTGTCAATTTTTGTCATTTAAAAATGCCTGTTTCCCTTTACACTGTGTGTATGTGTGTAAATTTCATGATGAATGGACCAAAAGAAACGGCCCAAAATTACTTGGAAGTCTGAGTCTGGTTCCTTTGACTTACATTAAAAGTTAAGTAGTTTTTTTCATTCTAAAGTTACCATTTTGGAGATACAAGGTTTTCTGCCAACAACAGTGACACAAACAAATATAGCAGCACGATATATGTATATATATATTATATATATATATATATATATATATATATATATATATATCGTCCTGTGCCGCTAAAAACAAGGCAAAAAGTGGTACAGTTGGGTTACAGTTACAGTGGGTTTTGAATTTTAATATCCACTTTTCTCGTGGTGATATACAGTACTGTGCAAAAGTCTTGAGAGGCAACTGAGAAACGTATGTTTGAAAATCTATTTAACTGGGCAGTGAGCATTTATTTGCTCAGAAACAGACTAATATTAGAATACATGCAAACATTAATCAGCACAATAAGTGGTGAGTTTTTGTATGTTACCATTTCCCAAACCTTTTCTTGGAAGCCCCGTTTTACTTGCATCGCATCCAATACAATGACATCCATGCTTCGTTAAATTAACTCAGGTGTGCTGCTGTTGGAACCGTACAAACCCACATGACGGGGCTGCGGGCGTCGAGGAGAAAACTGGAACCAAACTTTGTTCTTTTAACCAGCTAAGAAGATTCTAGCTAAAAACTATTCTTACTAAAAACTTATTCTAATACCATCAAAACTACCTTAATGTCCAGATAAATAGTTGTAAACAACATGTTTAAGTGGCTAAGACTTTTGCACAGTACTGCATCAAAATACAAAGGAAAAAGGTACGTATGCTGAAGTTTGGTCACCCCTGGTCAAACTGCTTAAATATGGCATTTCTGCACATTTTTGTGCACAATTTCTATTTATTTGCTAAATTTAACCTGTTGGAAAAAATAAAACATAACTTTCTGAATGTGCCAAAGCTTTTGCACAGGCCATATTTTATGTATCATTTCCAATATGTTAAACACAACAAATGTTATTTTATTTTCACTAAGCAATCATTTGGTCATTTGGTCATTTGACCAATTCACTAATCTTTTGCATACTTGGGTTTATATATAAACTTCTAAACCCAGATTCTAACTAATTAGCTGTATTATAAGTATTATAATTAATATTATTGGTAATAAATAAAAAAAAAATCTGGAAAGTAAATGCGACCTAACAGCTGAATGGATTTCATACGCATTTTGTTGTTTTAAACCGAGCGACCGTTCGTGTACCGACGGGAGAGCGTCTTCACTGAGACGTAGCGAAACGGAAATTCTATGCGTCTGTGAAGGCAACACCTGGGAATACCTGCCTGTTCCTTTCAAAGAATGAACCCTCTGTTTGCGTTTCTCCTTCTTTCAAACGCTCATAATGGTCCATTCCGCAACAAAGCCGCCGTTTGAAAGGCCAGAAAAAGTAAAAACAACCCCCTCTCTCTGCTGTAATGAGCACGAGCAGTTCCTCTTAAATGTTTACCTTGCTTACAGAAAAGGGAGGGATGCAGGAACGGAGGAGGAGAAAGAAAGAGAGGGCGAACGAGAGAAAGAGAAGAAGGGAGGGAGGGAAGAATCTGCGAGATGGGAGCGGAGCCAAGGCCTTTAAAGTCTGCCACAGAACCGTGACAAAAGCAGCCTAATCTCGGTGTTGTCTTTCGGCCTTTCTTTACACATCCTGCCAAGCTGCCTGAGAGGAAAGGAATCTCTCTGCAGCCCCGCTGACATCACTCAAGCATGGGATGGAATAGGGTCATCAAAGGCATCCGCATGCGGGACATCTGCGCGAGTGTGCGAGCGAGAGCGTGCAAGTGCGTCTGCCATCCAGCCCTCTACCTGTTCCTCTCCGTCCCGTCCCAGGACCACCCCAGAGGACAGGAGACGCTCATAAAGTCATGATGTTCTGTCTGGAGGAACGGCTGCTGTTTTGGAAGGTACAGCTTCAGCCAAAAGTTTGGACACATCTGACTGAATGTATGTTTTTTGTAATCTGAAAGCAAAAAGGGGGGGGGTTTAATTTTTCCCCAAACATAGACAGTCTGTCAAGCAGTGGTGGACGAAGTACACAAACCATGTACTTGAGTTAAGGTAGAGACACCCAAGGTAAAATATTACTCCAGTAAAAGTAGAAGTTCCTCCATTTAGACTTCCACTTGAGTAAAAGTACAAAAGTATTCACCTTCAAATGTACTTAAGTATCAAAAGTGAAAGTACTAAAAGATTAATTAAGGCTTTAATGTCCTGTTATCATTTTTGTAATGAGACTTTTGCTTTATTAACTCATTTTAGGTGAAAATGCTCCAGTGTCTCTCTTGGTAAACCAGTCTTTTAATAGAGTCATTAATTAGTGACGCTGATGTCTATTAAAATTATCATAAGAACGAAACACTGAAGGCAAACAGTTTCCATCAGGTAGAACTGAGTGGCTCTAAAATAACTTTTTACAAACAAGCAAAGTTTCAGTTTCAGATTTATTTGCAACTTAGTTACAAGTTTAAAACTTTAGTTTTAAAGTTTAATAAAAACTTTAAACTCAGATTCACAAATGAGTTTCCTTTACTAAACTGCATCTGTAGGTCTCTGTTCATAAACATAAACTAGCAAAAACAAATTTACTATAAAATGAAATAGTGTTTGTATAAATTCAGAAAAAAGACACGTCAGTCACAACTGCATGTGTACATATTTCTATATTGTGGTCTA